CGGGCAGGCGTTACCGTCGTGCCCGCGGGTTTTCCCTCCCGGCCTCGCCCGGGCAGTGGGGAAAGATCTGGAGCGAGATTTGTGGGTGATCTGCGTGTAGCTAAGCGAGATCCCACCGAGCTGGGCGATGGGGTGGGATTGCAGGGACAGGGTCCGGCTGATACCAAAGAGTTAAGCAATGTAGTTAACAGTAAAACAGGCACATTCTTTAGTCTGACATTCCAAGGTTGGGAAGCATTAAGAAAACAAAGAACAGATGATAAAAAAGGGATGCTGTTATCTAAGTCAGTAGGTAAGAATGCAGAAAGAGGCCTTCAAGAGAGGGAGTTCTAGACGTGAAGGGAGCCAAGCTGATAACACGTTACAACCCACAGACATCAACAATAACTTGGGTGAGAGCAGGACAAAGGTAATTGATGCAGTGGGAGATCGTGGCCTCCAACTGAAATGGCCTCCCTGAAAGAGGGCAAAACCCCGCTTGGGGAGCCTGCGCAGTTGATAGAGAGGCTTCATTAGTGCTAACTGGGGGTGCGTACTGATTTACATTACAGGTGAGAAACTTGTAACCAGTCCTGAGTGTGAGTAACAATGCATATACAGTGGACTGTGAATATGCAAATATTTTATTGTATATAATGTGTACCTTCATTTGGCTTGGTGTGCATGCTAGGAGGAGAGATTCCTCCATGCACCCAGTGCTGCAGTAAACCGATGTTGGTTTTCTAAACTATCATTTGGTTTAGAGAGTTTTCTTTGTTACGATTTTGGGCCTTCGTGTCTGTCGTGACTGCGTGCATTACAGCCCTCCTCAGAAACACCACTGTGAAGTGAGGAGTGGAAGCGGGTGGAAGGCGAGTTGCTGAAGGTCACGCAGGAGCTTTGTGTGAAAGCCAAGAGCCGTTTATCCTCCATCGGTGGCGTTTTGTTCTCTCCTCAGATCCCCAAAGACCCAGCGCAGAGGTGGGTCCGGGAACTTGCCATGCTGAGCAAGCAGCTGCAGCGGGTTCACCCCAACGTCCTGGCCAAAGTGCTCAAGAAGGAAACCGTGTACCAAAACGAGGAGATTGTGGTGATCAACAAACCCTACGGCCTCCCCGTGCACGGTGAGGAAAAGCCGGCTGTACCACGTCCGTACCGATGTCATAGAGGGGGAAATGGAAATGGCTCCACAGAGCTGATGAGGGATCCTCTGCCTCCATCCTCCCTGCACTGAGGTTTTCCTTCCCAGGGAGGGACACGGGGAGTTTGTCCCCTTTAGATCACAGCCTTCATCTCGCGTTTTGGGGGTAATTTAAGGTACGTGGGGACGTGAACGTCTTCCCTGATAGCCTTGCCTGTGCGTTATGCAGGTGGCCCCGGGGTCAAGAATTGTATCGCTGATGTGCTGCCGATTTTGGCCAAGATGTTGGAAAACATGAAAGCTGAACCCCTCCACCTCTGCCACCGGCTGGACAAAGAGACCACAGGCGTGATGGTGCTGGCACGGAGCAAGGAGGCAGCGGAGAGGATCCGGCTTCTCTTCAAAACCCGCCAGGTGGAGAAGATCTACTGGTAGGAAAGGTTTGGGTGGAGAAGTGGCTTTGAAGGGCCTGTAGAGTTTGAAGAAGGGGTGACGGGACAGTTGCCAGGGTGTGGGGACGTGGGGCTTTGGGGTAGTGGTGGATTTTTGCTTATCTTCCCTCGAGCTTCTTTTTATGGGTCTGGGTTGTGGGGAGAGGGGATGAGAGGAGGGTTCCCTTCCTGCTGGAACAACACCTCGCAGACCTCTGGTTTCTCTCCCCAGGGCAATTAGCCTGGGGGACCCAGACCCCACCGAGGGCATCGTGGAGATCCCCATCGTGGAGAAGGAGGTGCAGAGCCACCAGTCACACTACAAGGTGAGCCGCACGTTCTCTCGGCCGCCTTTCTGACTACACGCTCCCCCTCCCCAGCACCTCCGTTTCTGCCTTCCCACGGGCTCACCCTCTCACTGCCGTTCAGATGACGCTGGCCCCCAACTATCGTCTGTCTCCGGAGGATGGGAAGGTGGTCAAAATCCGCAAGAACCGCAACGCCGAAAGCGCCGTGACGCGGTACCGCCTTCTGGCCAGCTCTTCCGCCTGCTCTCTGCTTGAGCTCCAGCCCATCACGGGTGAGGCCTGGCTGGGTGTCCCTGGGGTTGTGTCAGCTGCCGGATCCGCTTTCCATGCAGCTCCGCAGCCAAGAGCAGCGCTGGAAGCGAGAACTTGTTAAGACACAATTTGAAATCCTTCTTGGGCCAAGGCTCTGGCAATAAGCCACCGCGGGGCGATGGTTTGCTGCAGGGCTGCTCTCCGTCTGCCGATGATTTCAGCATGGTATTATCTGGCACTGAGGGTGGTGGGTGGGAGCCGAGGCCTGGCACGACTGGTTGTCACATTTTTCCTGTTTTCCTTTCCTCCTCAGGGGTGAAGCACCAGATCCGAGTTCACTTGGCCTATGGCTTGGGGTGTCCCATCCTGGGGGATCACAAATATTCGCACTGGAGCAAGTTGGCACCCCAGGTAAGGCAGGTCCTGCATCGCGGGGTGAGGCAGCCAGAGCCGGATCCAGGGCCAGGCAGCCCCTTTGTGTCCCCCAACTCCCCATGGGCCGGGGTTTTCAGGTCCCAGCTGGAGGGATGGGGTTATAAAAGGAAAGTTTTCTGTCCTCGCTGCAGAAGCTTCCTGAAATCACCTTGAGGAGGCTGAAGCTGGAGCAGAGGAAGGCTCGCCACCTCCCCCTCCACCTCCACGCCCACCCGCTCTGTTGGGGGAGCGAATAGACCTCGTCTGCAAGCCGCCCTTCTTCTTCCAAAAAACTCTGAAGAAGCTGGAGCTGGACATCGCTAAGGACTAACGAGGCAGGACGGGAGTGGTACCGTGTATTTCCGCAGCTCCAGTATGTGATAGCGTTGGGTCCGGCCGCTTTTCAGTGGTGTCTGCCTTGGAGCCAGCAGTGTGATGAAGTCTCCGGTCTCTGCCGCTTACTGGAGACCTCCTGTGTTGGTACTGGTGTTGCTGGTTTCAAACCAGGTACTTGCGTGTTCTTCTTGCCCTGATTTGGGGCAGAAAGGTGGCTGTGTACGCTGAGGAGCCTCTTGTTTGGACAAAGGAGGCTGGATACAAACTCTGGTTTTTGCCCGGTCTGTGTTTTGAACTTGTCTCCCAGCACTAAACGAAAAAAAAGTCTCTCTGTGCTCAGGCCAGGTGGATCTCGGTCTCTGGGCAGGTTTGAGCACACCTGGGTGTTGTCCCTCCCGGTTTGAGGGCCGTCGCTCGCCTCTCCAGAGCTGTTTAGCAATCTTTCTCTCCTGGCGCTCTGCACTCAAATTTGGAGACTTCCCTTCATTCAAAAATCCATCGAAAGTGCAATTTGGCAGCGGCCGTGGGGTTTTTTTGCTGTGCCGAGAGACTGAGTGGGGAGTTCTGCTGCTTGGCTTGGCCGAGCAGCTCCGGAACTCCCTCTGCTCTGTGCTGCCAGCAGTGTCGCTGCGGGTTTCTGGGCACTGACTACGCTGCTGGAAGAAACTTTTCTATCCCACCGTTCTTTCCAATTTCCCTATCGTTTATTTCTAGATCCCGTTATCGGGATCCCTCTCCCTCGGGACTTTGCCTTGGAGCCAGATTTCTTTCCCCATGCCCCGAGAGGGAGGTGCGTGGAGCGATTCCCCCAAACTGCAGCTGAAGTTTCGCCTCCAAATGGGAGCCATCAGCGTTTGGTGTTTCTTGGCCTGTCCCCAAAAGCTTGGGGCAGGGCAGTGGGACTTTCTCCAGCCCCTCTGGCTGGTTTAGGTGCTGGAAAGGGTTCTTTGTACTCCACGGGGCCACCATGTGCCTGGCTGAGGCTTCTCAGTAGGGTAATGCCCTGTCCCCTGCCTCTCCTTCTCCTTACAGCGGGGTGAAAATAGCTGGGGACCCCCCCACACCCCTCGAACGCGCCACCAAAAATACATCTGCTTATGAGAGAGGGGCGTAAAACCACGAGGAGCCGGCGAGCGGCTGCGGCCGGGGAGGAACGCTGCCTTCCCTGCCCGGTGCTGCAGCTGCTATTTTTATTTTTTATTATTTTTTTTTTTTCTATTTCAGGGTGTGCTATTTGTGAAAAGGTTTCCCCCTGTAATTACCAGTCGATTTAACGTGACATCTAAGCTGTCATTTACAGCCGCCTGGTATGGAGCGCTTGGCAAGTGATGCCTTCAGCCCTACAAAGTCGTTCCTCGAGCTGGTCACGCCTCAGACGACACCAGAGCCCCCGGGCAGCAGCAGCAGTCGTCGTCGTCTCCTCTTCCTCGATAGAAAAATGTCCCTCTCCCACACGGCCGCCGAGTACATGCTCTCTGATGCTCTCCTCCCGGATCCCGGCAGTTCCCGAGCCAAGGGCTTGCGGTTGGAGCTGCCGAGCGATCGCCTGCTGAAATTTGTCACCGTGGGGCTCCCCCTCTTCCTCGTCTCGCTGGCTTTCGCCCGGGAGTTCTCTGCCGGTGAGTCGCGGCTTTTGCAACGGGGATCTTTGGGTCGCGGGCAATCGCCGGCGATGGTTTGGTTGTCGCTGCAAAACCCTCATGTTCGTACCAGTGTGGTTGTGGTCCGAGGCGGAGCAGCCTGGAAATCCTGTTTTCAGAAAAGTTCTGTCTCGGGGATATTTATTGATTGTTTTTAATGGATTATTGGTCGCTGGGAAAGCCTGGGAACAGCCGTGACGCGAGTGGAATCCACTCCCCGCCTCATCTGCTTGCCTCCAGCACCTTTAGATGCCACAGGGTTGCTGCCAAGGAGGAGGAGGGTGCCAGCAGGGTGGTTCAGGGGATACGTCCCGCTGAGTTTTGCGAGGGCAGCACAAAGGGTTGCATTGATGGTTTGTCGCAACCTCAGGCTAAATCTGGCCTCGGCCGACATCGTGCTGCTGCCCCTGGGGGAGGTTTGGTTTGACTCTGGTTTCTGGCCCGTCTCTAATTCCCGCTCACCGCATACCCACGGCCACGCTCAAAGGGTTTGTGTTCGGGAAGCGATGGAAAAGCCCTTGCTGAAAAACGCAGCTACAAAATGGCTGCGAAAAAGGCTTTTTGAATTCAAAGCGATGCCTCAGATGTAATCACCATCCTGTAATGCATCGGCACCTGGCTGCGAAGCGCTTGCCGGTGCTTGCCGGCCCTCCGTGGTTGAGCTTCACCCTTCTCCTTACCTTAGGCTCGCAGATCAGCTGCTTCTCTCCCACCAACTTCACGGGGAAGCAGTCCGCCTACGTCGACACGGACCTCGTCCACCACGGCTTCGACGCCGAGGGACACGCCGTCACCAAATCCCTCTGGGTTCTCAAGGTATGGGTCAAACTCACGTCTGGGTGCCCTCAGGTCCCGCCTGGGTGCACGGCAGAGGTGAAGCAACTCCGCACCACGCGACGCCCGCTTGTTTCCTTCGCCCAGGTCTTCCCCTACTCGCTGCTGGTGGTGGCGGTGCTGATGTACATGCCTTACCTGCTGTGGCGTTACGCGGCCGCCCCCGCCCTTCACTCCGACCTCCTCTTCATCATCGACGAGCTGGACAAATCCTACAACCGCTCTGTCCGTTTGGTTCAGCACATGAGGAAAGTCCAGCAGGCCAGCGCTGAACCGGAACGATTTTGGGAGGAATACGAGAGGTGAGGTCGTCGGGCAGCCTCGACCGCTCGCCGCATCCCTCCGAAGTCCTTCCACGTGGCGTTGTGGCCGTGGCCACGTTCAGGACGGACTTCGGTGAAGCGACTCGGTTTGAGGGGGTGGCTCTAACTCCTCGCTGTGTCCCCTCTGTTCCCAGTGCCCGCCGGGAGAGGTATTTTGAATTCCCATTGCTGGAGCGGTACCTCACCTGCAAGCAGCACGCCCACTCCCTGGTGTTCATCTACATCTTGAGGAACCTGCTGCTGCTCTTGTTCCTGGCTGCCACCTGCCTCTACTTGGTCTTCCTCCACCTCAACATCTTCTTCCAGGATGAATTCAACTGCTCCATCAAAACGGGGCTGCTCCAGACGGAGACCCACATCCCCTCGCTCATCCCCTGCAAGCTGAGCTTCTTCTCCGTCTTCCAGCTCATCAGCCTCTCGGTCGGCGGCGTCTACGTCCTCCTCATACCCGTCGTCATCTATAACGCCCTGCAGCTCTGCCAGTGGGACAAGGGGCTGCTCTCCGTCTACGAGATGCTGCCCGCCTTCGACCTCCTCAGCCGCAAAATGCTCACCTGCCCCGTCAACGACCTCAACGTCATCCTCCTCTTCCTCCGGGCCAACATCTCTGAGCTAACCTCTTTCGGCCGTCTGAACGCCGTCAGCGCCTTGAGGGAAGCCACCGCCAACAAGCAGGACATCGATACCGTCATCGACTTCATGACGCTGCTGGCCGGGCTGGAGACGACCAAGCCCAAACACCCAGCTTGTGCCCCAGAGGCCGACGGCCCCGCACCCCTCTCCAACGGCGGGGTCCTAGGTAGGTTTTGGTAGAAAAGACTTTTTTGCTTTTTTCTTGCCTCCCGCACTGCCAGATCCCACCCTGGGGGGCGAGGCTGGATCCATCCACCGTGACCCTTAAACCCAAGACCTTAAGGGTTTTAGGGGAAGAACTGGGGGGCTGCCGGGGATCACTGGGAGGGCCGACAACTCCGTTTACAGCCGGGGCTGGGGTTCTGGCAGCTGGGATGTGTTGCTACTGGGAGCCCACGCGTGGGCAGGAGTTGCTATAGGAACAGAAAGCGGAGAGCTTGCCGCTTAAATCCAAGCTCTGGGCAAACTAGGGGGCTGAGGCGGGGGAGTGGGGGGCCCCGTTTTTGGCAGGGGGGGCAGCTCAGACCGCCGGGAACGGGATTGGGA